TCTCCATGCCCCACCTTGACCGCATCACGGCCGCTGCATACGAGGGCCCTCCCCCGTTTGAGGGGCCTGGTTGGCCTGGGGCAGCAACAGGCTGTGCAGCACGGCCCTGCTGTCGCATTTGCTGTAACTGCTGTGTCTGGCGCGCCAGCTCCTTCCTTGGTGGTGCTTTGCACGGCATAGTGAAGGGTCCCTCCTGATCGGTCAATTTCAGTCTGGAAGCCCTCAGTATGCCGGGCCTGGTTGCCTCCCCCGGCCTGCCGAGTTCGAAGTGTTTTTCACCCGGTAGACCGGGGGTGTCCTGCGCCACCTTGACTCGCCAGGTGTCTGCCATCATAGTGGGATTCAGCTCATGGATGTCTGATTCATCCCAGCGGAACCACTGAGTGGAGTAGCAGGCGGCAAGGAAACCAGGGATGACTCTGTGATCCATGTAGGTGGGGATCCCCTTGATCTCCCAGTAGGGCCGTTCCGCCTTGTACAGGTTCGTGATGGGCAGCTCCACTTCCACCGGGGGGCTGCTGGGTAGGAGATGGACTGGCCCCAGGTGAAGCCGTCCCCTCCGGACTGCTGGCGAGGTGGTAAGCATTGCGAGACCACCTTTCCGGATCAAGATGCTGATTTCTTGCACCTTCACGCCGCTGGGGAGTGCCCGTTGCGGGCATTTGCTGATTCGCGGCCCGAGTAGCCCCTCTGCCTCAACGGGCGGTATTATCGCCCGTAATCTGTTTAAAATGGCCTTGCCCATTGGTCCATGTAGCTGGGCTTGTATGTCCGCGGGGTCGGAACCGGCCGGCCAATGGATTTCCATGGTAACCTGGTCCTGTTCCGCATGAAATGGTGTTCCTTCTGGAACCGTTTCCATTATTATGTCGATGTTCACAAACTTTCGTTCCGCTTGGGCGCGGCTTGGTTGTTGGCGAGCAGCTGGGGCTGTCGCCCGTCCATTTGAACGTTCCTTTGGCGCGGAGGTCCGCGCCTGCCCATTTTCTGCCATTCTGGCCTATATTACCTCAAGCATATTTTTCGTGAGTTCTCCGTTTTTGCCGCGGTCGGCGAGGTCAGCCATAGGAAGTTCGCGGTTGCGTTTTAGCGAATATTACATTTGCTTTGTTGTTTGCTTTGTTGTTGTTGTTGTTGTTGTTGTTGTTGTTGTTGTTGTTGTTACATGGTCGTGGGTACGTTCCCCGTACCAGCAAACCACCCTAGTACGAGACGAGGGCTAAAGGGCTGCCAAATCGCCTATAAGCACCATCCTACCTCGCACTTCCAACGAAACAAGTGATGAAGGATACTAACGACCAAAGGGAACGATAGAGTTGCGGTGGGACCATATGTGTTCCAGCATCCTTGCCAGGCATTCAGGTTCCCACTTCATAGCACAGGAGCACCAGACTCCGGCAGGTTGCGATAACTGGTCGTGTTCCACAGCGACAGTGTGGCGTCCTCACCAACGATAGGTGGAACTCTAGGGTGGAAAAGGGCCCGTAGAGGTGACGCGGTGGGAATATAGCATATAGGACTGACTAGGTGCAGACCTCAGAGCGTTCCCCCCTTAACACACGCCAGGTTGAGCGGACACCGGTGTAACAATAATAATAATAATAATAATAATAATAATAATAATAATAATAATAATAATAATAATAATAATTCCCACTTCATAGCGTCCTTCATATGCTCGAAGCGAGGTTTGTGACACACCAACAGCGTCCTGATACAGTGTTGGGTGAAAGTGCCAGTCTGCCTTGGGGTCGGAAAACAGGGAAATGTGGATGGTAGAGGTTCTATGCTCGTGTGTGACGGTACCTGGAAGCGAGGTTTGTGACACACCAACAGCATCCAGATACAGTGTTGGGTGAAAGTGCCAGTCTGCCTTGGGGTCGGAAAACAGGGAAATGTGGATGGTAGAGGTTCTTTAATCGCGTGTGACGGTACCTGTGTACAGTCAGATGGACATCTGATGCAGGGAAGGGAGGGAGGGAGGGAGGGGAGGGACAAAAAAAGGATGGAGGAGACGATGACGCATGTGTACATGCCATGTTGAGTTTTGTTATTGCCGTGTCATCACCGCTATTGTACGTCTTATTTATCTAAACGTCTCTTTTATCCCGAGAGCTATAGAAGAGTAGATGAAATCAAGATACTGCATTACTCTGTTACACATCATGAACACTGAGCTGACATAGCATCTTGCTATAAGGAAAGCGAAGAAACCATTCCCGCCTGGGCGTCGGCCCCATCTTCCGAGGCCTGCTGCACCTGCAGCACGTGTATGGGAGCATGACAATTAGGGCAGGCACGGCAATGACGGCGGCGAAACATACCCGCCCCCCTCCCCCAACCAGCCCCAGCCAACATCCATAGCATCAGGAACAACAAAGAGGGGAACGGGTAACGAATCCACAAAAAAAAACCCTGGCACAGACGTGCCCCACCACCACCTGCATACATAAAAACACTTGCCGTACTACGATATCCCTATCGGAGTACGACAGCTTTTTGTCGCCCCACATAAAGCTCATAAGAGCCCCAACCCTTCCTTCCATCTTACCTCCATTTCCGGCTGGACGTCGGCCCCACCTTCCGAGAGTGCGCCTCATCTGAATCGTTCCCACAACAGCCCCCAGGAAGCGAATACGGATAATACCACCCTATCCTGCTGCTACTGCCACTGCAGCTCGTGTACGAGGTCTTGTTGAGGCGAGTGATATTCCATGCACAGGAGGGCCTGTAGCGGTTGTGACAGAGGTCCATGATGTATGCGTGTGAGAACCCAAGCACTGATCACACACAAGAGTATGTAAAACCCAATGGGACAGAGAACAGCTGGTGCTTGTGTTGGCGCCGTCACGGTGGATGTGCGAGTTAAGGTGTGGTGGAGTGGAAAAGGGGAGGGGAGATGGGGAAACGGCCATGTGCCCGAGTCTCTCGAAAACACAGAAAGTGGCTATGTACACACGATGGCTGCGCCGTAAGTGGAACTCGTCGGATTAATATCATGTCGCCACCTAAGACGGCTCCCTGATGGCTTTCGCAGGAAAGGCCGCACATCCCCGGCGCATCAATTCTGCAGGTCCCTCGCCGCTGTTCCAACCTTCCTGTACCCTGTTTTCCGTCTAGAGGTCCACACTAATGCTGTTTACAGATAAAAGGACGTTATTGCGTAGATGTGCGTAGTATATTCGGTGGCTATGGCTTCACTGCACCTCTCATTGCTCTGACAGAAGTGGCTTCGTGCGCTCGGACATGCCGATAAGCGTTTATAGTCACAGGCTAGCTATGAGACTGCATTCATGTATCATCGAACTGATGGTAATCACTAGTCTTAGAGACTGTAAGACACCGCTAGAGTAACAACATGAGTCAATGCGGATGCTCATCACAAGCGTGTCACTCTGAGAATCGATGCTGACAGACACGCAGAAGGGCTTTAAGACTAGCCGGGTTCAAGATCCGAAACGTTTGCAACGCACACTCGTCAGCCTGTCGGCCAATCCCAGGTCATAGGTTCTGTATGACTGTCTGTCAATCTCCGGGTTCTTGGCGGAGTCTATCTGTCCCAGCCAATCCAATGTCTCTCGACACATCTAGTCTCTCGGAGTACGGATCACCCGCGGACCTAACACCTATGGGTAGGGTTGGCAAAGTCTTTAGATGGAAAAAGTATCTAATTAGAAATCTAATTAGACACCTAATCTAATTAGGTAAATCTTTAGATGGCCAAACGGAAAACTGCCTAAACGGTGGAATTTTGACCTGAAATTTTGCACACGATGCGGCTTTATCTTTTCCTGGATTTTCCAATAATGTTTTGGGCCGCTCGACACTGGGAACACGGCGAACCCCTATGGGCGCTCTACATACGCGTGTCGGATGGCGCCACGGGGTGCAATTAGGCGCCCCGCGGCCCAACCGTCGGCCCAACCGCAAACGGAACCACCAAAGTACACATGCCAACATGCGGGACACGCCCGCATTGGGATGCAAAGCTGTCGGGCTCTGTTCTGCCGCCCCATACCACCGGCCGCACCACGCAAACGACAGAAACATCACGGCATTAGACGACAACAGCCCTCATTAGCAGGCCCGTTCGGCTCTAACGCTTATTTAGGCGGCGTCGTTGTTCTGGGCCAGCTGCGCGATCGGGACGTTGTCCTCCTCGTCCCCAGCCCAGCAGCTGCATGGTGACCTCCTCATCGAACAGGCTGCCCCGCTTTTGGGGTCCTGGTTCTGCCATTGTGTATTTTTACGTCTATTTGTGTATGTAATAGAGCGGAGCAAGGATATGACACTAAAGTTACCTTCAACATAGCTGTTTCGCGTGCCATGACTCACGTTTGGACGGTCTGCCCTATGGCATAAAACGGGGGGTAACCCCCCCTTAAGTGTAACCCAGGGTGTAGGGTTAGGGGTTACCCATGTGGCTATGTATGAAGGGAGGTGGGTAACCTAACCCCGGGGTAGGGGTAACCCCTTACCGAGGGGTAACAAAGGGGTCGGGGTAATACACTACTGATGGGTAACAGACAGGGTAACCCATGCTTACATTTACTTGCACCTGTCTCGCCTGTCTACACACGCAAACATACATGTCTTCACCAATCACTTGTAAATGCCCAATTATCAACATTGACGCACCAAAACATGCCTTGTGTAGAAACCTAGACCTAAGGATAAGGCACACAGCTGCAGCCTAGATGCAAGGAGGAGGACGAAGAGGCGTACATAGGCAGAGCAAATTGGGGACCGCCGCCAGCGAGAAGCCGCCAGTGAAGCCAATAAATATTCCTATCAAAAGGTCCAGGCACTTACCGCCGCTCCGGACCCAAGACCTAAAACTCGCGGACTAGCCAACGGGCGGCAATGTAAGCTTACATTACCTTAAGGTCGGCCAGCAGCTTAAGTGCCCCGTCCCGACCTGCTACTTCCAGCTCTACGCACGACCTATGCAACACTATCCAGAGTCTGCTCGTTTTCAGAGCAGGCTCTCCTAAGAGCGTCGAAGGTCTTGGGCGGGAGATCCGACACCCCGAACACGGTCACACCCGGCGAAGTGTAAGGCACCCTCAGGCAAAAATCCTTGGATGTCACTGGATGTCTTGCTAAATGAGGTGCACCATAAGTCTGGGCCTGTGCTGCAGAAAGACAGTCAACGGTCTTGTTGTGGTGGTCCGCGCGCGCGAACGCTAGAACGCCACCATTTTTGCCGCCATACGCACCAGTATTGCAACGTGGATTATATGTGTGCATTGTATCTTTGGTCAATAGGAACAATGCCAGCAGTGAATATGATTGACTGAATTCGTGATAGTGGTCATCGCTTATTGTAGCATGTCCGTCTAATTATATAAAAGACCAGACTATATGAGCTTACAAGCTAATTAGCTGTGATTCAGCTTGAATGTGTTGTCTGGATCCGGTCACCGGCCTTTAGATAGGCATTAGATGGACTAGATACGTTTAGATGCCCACCTAAAGGGTTTAGATGGCCTCATCTAAAATCTATATAGAAATCTAATTAGATGGCATCTAAATTATTTTCTAAACCTAAACTTCCGACCAACCCTACCTATGGGGCCTCTGTTTGGACTTTTCCTATATAAATAAATAGGGGGGTCCTTGTGAAGCAGCTGCCCGCGTTTCCAAAGCACGTATGGTGTTGGATTGTAAGTTGCCCAAGTACGTTTGCGATGAAGAGAATGTGGCCAGGCTGGAGAGGAAAGTGCAGTGGCATATTGGAATGTGAGACTAGTGTCGAAGCTGTTTAGTGGAAGCTGGTTACAGGGCGTTTGGCGCACGGCGCAATGTACTTGTAGTTCTGTCTTCGCGCGCGAGTATGCAAGAACAACAGGAACCACAGCTCGTGCACATGCCACGTCGCGTCGGTACTTGCTATGATGTAGGAACGAAGAAAAAGGCCTAGGTTCAAGTTCCCTGTTCCCTGGATGGCCATGCCAGAACAGGCAATATGATGGGTGAACTTGCACGCTACCAACTTGCCCCCGAGCACGCGACGAGCGGACATAGCAAGGAGCGCAGCGGGCTCTCCTTTAACTCCGAACGCTTACACAATAGACCATCCCAAGCCGTTCACACACGAGTTAATGTTGGACATGTATGCACCGTGAATGAAACCCTAAGTGCGACCACTCAATGTCCAGAAGCCTAGCACCGAAATTGTGGTACTTTATCCGTCAAGCGTTCAGTTGCTGCGTGGGCTAGGCAAGCGTGGCAGGGGCGTCATCGTCTTGGACTGTGATGGCGGTGGGTGTGTTGGTGCTGTGTTGGGCTGGCAGAAGGCGGCCCGTGCAGCACATTGTAGCCGCCCGGTCCTGGGCCTTGAAGTGCCTGATGTAGAAGGCCTCCATCTTTTGGGCCAGAGCAGGATTGGCGGTGGACATGAGGCTTGTGAGGGTGAAGTGATCTCGGAAGGGTTGGTAGCAGCTGGTGTCGTCCTTCATCCGGCTGGGTGGGTTGCGGGTGGTAGCAGCTGGCGTCGTCCTTCATCCGGCTGGGTGTTGAGGGTCCCAGGACTGGCCGATGTACACCCTGCCGGTCGGTGCGCACGTGATGGTATATAGTCACGTGCAGGCGGGGGCACTGGTATGTGGCTCGGCAGGGCTGGTTGCAGCTCGCTTGGCTGGTGTGGTGGTGGCCAGGAGGGCCCCCGACGCTCGTGCCTGCTGTGCGGTGGTCAGCACCGAGCATGCGAAAGCTTGGTCCGCCTTGAGGACGGTGCCGGCATCCATGCCATAATCGTAAATTAGCTCAATTGCTGTATCTGCACGCAGGCTGCCGGCAGCTGCGATCCACAGCTGCATGACCGCCGTGTGCGTGGCCACCGTTTGGTCCGGCATGTCGCCCTCATGAATCTCCACCATCATGTTGTACAAGAACGCTGCATGGGCATGGAGTGCGGGAGGGTACATTTAAGTTGGCGGGATGGCGGGGCGGAAGTGAAGGCATGCAGGTGCGGGGTGTGACAGGTACAGACCCTGTGGCCGGGCAGTTGGAAAGCGGGCACGGAGGGCGGCAGCTGCCGCAAGCGAGCAATGGGCAGCAAGGTAGGACGTCTTACTGCTGGCGGGCTTGGCGTCGTGCTGCACCTGGAACTCGTCCTTGTACTTTCGGCCCTCGGCCAAGAGCACGTTGAACTCGGTGTTGGTGTGGGGGGTGTGCAGGACGTCCTCGTCGTGACACCCCATGCTTCCCAAGAGCAGTTGCTGCCTGACGGTTCGAAGGCAGCAGCAGGGCGTGTCAGGATGGTGGATGCATGGGACAGCCAGAGTGGCGCGTGTGTGTACAGCAGGGATGGCATGTGTTCTGATGGATAGGGTGCGGCGCGGCAAGGTGGCTACTAGTACCGGAAGATGAGGCGCTTACTTGAAGATGAGCGGCCGTTTGGGCACCCCGGCCAGTGAGGATCGATCACAGCCTCCGCCGGTTGGCGACACCGCTGCCAGCTGCACCCACAGGTCAGCTATGTTGACTGGCGGCTTGGCTGCCGCGCCGGCGGAAGAGGTCGCAGGCTGGTCGAAGGCGTGCCGTAAGCGCCCAAGTTGACGGGCGAAAGGGTCTGAGGTGTTACTTGTGACTGGTGTGCCATTTTTGGAGGCATGTTGTGCGAGTTTGCAACAGTAGAACAGGTGTCCGCGAAGTGACAGGCTGGCTGGTTGCCATCCGCAAAAGGGACTTCGGTCTTTGAGCCAAAAAAAAGGAAGCAGGAGAATGTGTGAAAAAGAAGGCGACACAGGCTGGCATTTATACAAGTTGCGGCATCGTACAAACTGGATGCGTCAAAGAGGCGGGCTGAATCTGAAGGGTGTCGAAGCGTGGTCCGGCTCCAAGCCGCGAGCTGCACAGAGATGCCGAGGCTGTGGCCGGGGCCACTGCACCAGGATGCTCCGAAGTACCCAGGAATGTGTTGCTCAGCATCTGTTACAGCTGGACTGGGCGATGATATGTCAGATGGTCGACGGTGTCACTGGTGAGTTGCCTGTGCAGCGGCCCAGTTGCACTGCTGTGGTTGGTGCTGCTGCTGCCGCCCCTGCTGCTGCTCCTGCTGCTGCAGTTTTGCGTGGGCTGCTGCTGCAGCTGTGCTTGCTGTGATGACTGCCGTGTCGCTGCAAGCAGCCGCCACATCTCAACCGCAGGTCTGTGCTGATCAGCCCATTCCGCCAAGATGTGCTGCACAGTGAACTCACAGCAGCTGTCCATCCCATGCAGGACAGCACACACTTGACCAGCCCGCTCAGCTGACGGTGTTTCTGACATGCAGAGGCCAACCGCACGACAAGCCGTGACGAGATGCTGGTGGTGTTGCCCTGTCCACACACCTGGCACCATATTCAGCAGGCGGTAAGACACGGGGGTGCCAGCGAGGCCCGTCTGTCGGATGAGGCACACTTCCGTTGGCGTTGTGCTGGAGCCCCAATAGCAGATCTGCAGCCCAGCCGGGTCAAACACTGTAAGCACAATGTTGAGAGCATGGGCAAGAACTGCCAGCTCCACATTGCCCGGCAGCAGCCGGTGCTGCTGTAGGGCTTCACCATATTGCGCCGCCGTGCAAGTGCTGGAGAGGCTGCTGGCATGGGCATGTAGCACTTGAAAGCACATCGAAACCCAAGACTCGGCAATGGCAATGGCGCCCACCACGGTCGCCAGCAAAATATCAGGCGCGGGCACATCAGTGGCACCCGCGGCAATGAGAGCATGATGCACGCAGTCCAAACACGTTGCGTGGGTATCAAGCGGCACGACAGCACAGTTAGGGGCACCGGGAGTTGGCCTGCATAGCAAACATCAGCAGTGTGAGATGATGTGTGTAGGCTTGGATGTAGCTGTGAGCAGTGTATCACAACAGCCCTAACCGTATTTCCATTAACTGCAGCATTACCTGTCACACTCTGCGGATCACATGGCCACATTGGCACACGCTTACCGGTGCTGCTGGATGGCTCTGCATTCCCAACGTGAACGTGGGTTGGTTGTAAATCGATAAGCATGGATGACGTGTCGGCTGTACCGGTATCACACACTGAGCCTTCTAGAGGATGGGCTGCACGGACGCCTGCTGCACCATGCAGACCTGTTGAATAGGGTAATGTGCAGTTGTAGCTGTATATGAACAGGTTTGGCGGTTGATATACACTCATGAACCAATTGCATTCGCCAGGATACGAAATGGCATCATTCTTTAAGCTTACTTACGAACTGAAATAGGCTGGCTGATGTGGGCTCGTGGCAGACGAAGGGACCTGCGCCTGACACGGCCCTGACTCGACCTATACCACCCCTTGGCTCTTGCTTACCACGTAATCGCTGACCGACACCCGTCGCCCAAAATTGTGCGGCGTCTTCATCTGCAGGTGCGTATGCAGGCTTGGTTGAATGTTGTGATGCAAGCGCCCGTTCATGTCACGGTAGGCAAGCCGGCCACCGCGTACCAGATATGTTGGCGATGTCAAAGAGACGCTGCACCTCGGTACCTGTGCGCAATGCGTACGCTGCTCGACCGCGCCGACCAAAACTACATGTTCCCATCTGAAGACAATGCCGGTGGTTCTTCAGCAGCATTTGAGCTTGCTGCTGGCTCAAGTCCTTCCGTAGTTGCTGCAACACGGCTAACGCAGGCACGGCCGAATGCGCTGCGAAAAGCTGTTCCAAGCCCTCAGCGGCATTCATTTTACTTGAAAGGTTCTTAACGACTTTCGCGATTCTTATCTTTACCTAATTCTGCGTTGTTATTATTAATTTATTTCGTAAGAGTGTAACTTGAGTTTAGTCGGAACAATGTGCATTATGCGCTGCGCTACCGAAAGCAGGCGCCTTATGGCTTGCACACATCTGCTTCTTCGCCAGACGCTTCATCTTCCGCGGCAGTTTCACGAGCCCACAGTTGCAAGCTACGACGTTGGCTTTCGGTGCTTTCAGTTACTGCAAAGCATCCACGCAATAGTCCAGCCTGCATGCTGCGTGCGGCTATGGCCAACATGCCCACCTGCGCAACGCGCTGGCGCACCTGGTCCGCCAAGAAAGTTTATATACACTTGTACAGGCGCATTTTGAGAATCGCAAGCGCGGTAATCTGCGCGGTAAAATTCGCTCCTGACTTTTGGGGCGACATGTACGAACTCTTTATTCGGCACAGTACGACCGGACACATTTGTGCGAGAGGCTGCTTAAAGATAAAGCATTTGCTCCCTCATTATAAGACTGCCTGTGCTGCTCTTCTTATCTGATGTCACAAACAAAGCTAAACTGTTGTGTTGGCGACCGCGACTTGCAGCAACGCAGCACGATAAACGTATCCTGTTTTTCGTGTAATTTGAGCCTCGTAGGGTAGTGTATTGCGTGAATTTGGCACGGGACCTCGAAATGGAGGCGATAGACGCTTTAGAGGCGAAGATTCGCAAGGTGGAGGGGGAAATAGAGGCATGCACGGACAGGGAAACCTTGCTTACTTACGCGAAATGGAAATGCAGCTCTTGGCGCAGCAAAATCTGCTCTTGGAGGTTGTGCTGCGCAACGGTGAGTAGTGTCAGCACATATGCTGCTGGGGCCACGCCGAGGTTTGCGCAGACCCGCCATCCAGTTGTTACACTGCATAGAAGCTTTGATGAATTGGACCTTATTTCTACTTCTTTTCGCTGATGAACCACGAGTGTCATGTGTACTGCATCCTTGTTTTGGAGTCTAAGCCGTCTGGTGCCTTTGGTGCCCTTCTGACTTTGTGCATGCTTAATGCCCACATCCACAGGTCCTTCCACAACATCCGAGGATGCCACGCGCTTCGTCGCTACGTTGCGTACCATGGCAGTGCCGGCTGCTGGCGATCTCCTGACTGTGGGCAGTGGTGATATGACTTTCCTACTGCACAGTCCGAGCTGTCAGCTGTATGTCCGAAAGTGCTATCCGGACCTTGTCAAGGCCATCTTCGAGTCGACGGAAACGAGGTTTGTTGGTGAGCCCATATTTTTACCTGCCAGGTTACCAGTGACACTTGTCCAGGGGTGTGAGGGACTACTGCTCCCAACCTGTCATTTCAGCAGGCGGGTCTACAACAATTATGTTGGATATTGCCCTCGTGGACAGATATTGCTGTGATAGTTTTTATATACTGCTGCTTTCGATCATTCACTCCACTCACTTGATGAGCGAGGCCTCCCCCTTGCCCTTGTGTGTTGTGTTGCAGTTACCGGGACACCTGGGATTGGCAAGAGTTACTTCTTTTACTACATGCTGTTGCAGCTGCTGCACAGCCCATCGCCACCGCCCTTCATCCTTTGGGAGCACTTCGGAAAACCTGATGTAGTGGTGGGTTACACCCTTGTATTGTGCTGTATCGTGTGCTGGTGTGTGCAAGTTTTTGACATTTTTTTCTTTTTCTGCCCCTTCTGTTCAACAGTGGTGCTACACACATGAGACAGGCCAGGTCCGGACTGGCAACCGCCTAGCCTTCATGGCCGAGTATTGCAATCATGATAGCTGGTGGGTTCTACCTGCACAGTGCAGCACACTAATGCATGCATACATACCCCCGTCCAGGATGCCCTGGCCATTTCCTTTGGTCTCGCTTTTGGTTGGGGAAGGGCTGGGATTTCCTCAGAGCCTTTGCCCTAGCTGGGCTTTGTCCAGTTGAGACTTGAGCACAAGTGTATTATCACTGCAGCACCTTCCACTGATGGAGGTGCTGCTGAACGGCTCCGTTTGGCTGAGTCGGGGTCGGGAGCTGCCTTTGAATCCTGCAGCTTCTACTGGGTAAGCATGTTGCAGCATTTCTTTTGCATGCTCAATATTAGACTGTGCTATTGGTAGTTTCAGGACAATCCGTAACCCTGCAAGATCCTATGGGCACTAATAACCCAAAGATTGAAGTATTGGATAAGGCATTTCCAATGGTGGAAGGTAGCGTTTCCCTAGTTGATGGACGGTGGTGACCTGGGATAAAGTTAACCAGTGAGCCTACCATGAATGGAGTTGGTCCGCCGTCGATCCCGCAGATTCCGTTGGATGTTGGTGGTGGGTGTGGAACCTGAGCCATCCACTGCGAAGTTAACTAGGCCCTATGGCATAAACATGCCGGTTACCGACCGTTTGGGGCCCATTAACCCAACCGGCCGGTTGAATGGCGTTAACGGCCCGGTTGGTTAACGGTCGGTTGGTT